CTCTATAGATATATAGATCTAGGGTGTAGCCTCATTTGGAATACTGTGTACAGTTCTGGTCACCGCATCTCAAAAAAGACATTGCAGAGCTGGAATAAAGTACAGAGGCGAGCGACCATGATGATTAGATGGTTAGAGCACCTTCTCTCTGAGGAATTGCTAAAGAGTCTGGGGCTTTTCAGTTTAGAAAAGAGATAACTAAGAGGGGATAGGATAGAACTTTACAGAACTAAGCACAAGGTAGAGAGTGTTGGCAAAGTGAACTTCTTCTCCCTTTCCCAAAATAGTAGAACATGAAGGCACGCAATGAAACTGTTGGGAAGTAGGTTCAGAATGGACAAGAGGAAAGACTGCTTTACACAGAGAGTGACTGAAATGTGGAATTCGCTGCAAGAGGATTTCATGATGGCCACAGAAATAAACAGCTTTAAAAGGGGGTGAGACAGATTCATGGAGGAGAGGTCTATCATTATGGCGACAGTGACTGAAGGGAACCTCCACATTCTGAGGTACTACACTTCTGAATACCAGGAGAAAACCCCAGGGCAGGTCTCAGCCTATATGCCCTATAGTTGGCCCTTCAGAGGAACTGGTTGGCCCCTGTGTGAGACAAGATGCTGGACTAGATGGACCACTGGTCTGATCCAGCAAGACTCTTCTGATGCTCTTATGAAGACCTCAGCCTCTGTGCCCTGTTGCTGGCCCTCCAGAAGAACTGGTTGGCCACTGTGTGGGACTGGATGCTGGACTAGATGAACTGCTGGTTTGATCGAGCACGGCTCTTTTTATGTTCTTATGTGACTTTCAGATTTCTGAACTCTTTTCATTCAGTCACAGCAGTAAACACACTTCTCAGAAGACTGTGGTTCCCTTAAATTGATTGCTTACCTCACAGGTCAAGGTATCTATAGCTGAGACACTGCTCCCCCTCCCCATTTAAACCCTCCTTCCTTCCTTCTGAGGTAAACAAAGAGAACTTTGGTATATTCAATCTGAAACACAGTTATTTTAAAGGTATATGTTCATGCATACCACAGCTGGAAAACAACCTATGGCCCCAGTCACATGGGCCGGAAAATGCGAGGGGGAAGTGTGGCTGTTTGCCCCGGAGCAAAGTAACGAGCGGCAGCCCGATCACATGTCCCGTGGAGGTCCCGTGGGTATGCCCTTAGGTGCCGATCACACGGCTATCCTGCAGCGTGGCAAAGTGGCGTGGCGCGATCACACTGGCAATCGCTAGGTGCCGCTTCCGTAGCAAATTGGAATTTTTCCCCCTCACCACAGTGTGCGCATGTACAGGTGGGCGTTTGTGCACATCCTGTGGAGACTTTTAAAAAAACAACACCCGGTTTGCAACGGGACATGGGCGGGCGCCAGATGCCACGGGATTCCAGCAGAAACGCGATCAGACACCTGCCCTTGCCCCGCATTTTCTGGAAACTAGTACATCCTATGTGGTGGTTTTTTACTCCGCATCTTCGGCAACAAGCCACGGGTTAGCCACGGGTGCACTACGCTTCCCAGATGTTGCGGTGTGATCGCGCCCAGAAAATCCACCTATCATCCGTGTCTTCAGCATGGCAACTTCTCCATGTGAACTATTGCTCTATCTGTGCAGAACAGTGAAGGTACATATTGAAATGATCATACGTAGCATACTTTCCTGGTTACATTTGTCAGGAGTGCCAAAATCATAATGACTGAAAAGGGCTTTACACTGTTGCTATTTAATATGCTCATTCATGATCTGGAGCGGAGGCTGAGCAGTAGAGTAGTACAGGCTAGACTGATCTCAACAGGTCTCAGAAGCTAAGCAGGGTCAGCCTTGGTTAGCACTTGGGTGGGAGACCGCCCAGGAAGCCCAGGGTTGCGGTGCAGAGGCAGGCCATGGCAAACCAACTCTGTCTCTCGCCTTGAAAACCCTACAAGGTTGCCTCAGTCGGCTGTGATCTGACAGCCCTTTCCACCGCAACAAGCATTGTGGCCAAGTTGGCATGTGATACTTGATCATCCAGAATGGTGAAATCTAAGGTGGATTGTGGAGAGCTCTTTAAATTGGGTGAGTGGGAAACAACTTGACAAATGCAGTTCAGTGTCGGAAAGTGGAAAGTGATACACACTGGAACACAACAAAAGAATCCTAACTTTAAATGTATGCTGATCAGGGGTCATTTCCTGCAGGAGCGCACAGGAGCGGAGCTCCGGCAGTAAAGAGCCCAGGGGGCGGGCACAGGCAACAAGCCCCACCCCCTGCTCCCAGCAGCCCTCAGTCAGAGCAAGAAGCAGCCAGGAAAGCTGCAGAGCCCCCCCCCGCCCCCCATCCAAAACAGTCCGGTGGCACCTTTAAGACCAAGTTTTATTCAGGTATGAGCTCTTCCTCCCCTGCAAGGACAGATCTGCAAATAGCTAGCAATCGAAAACAGTCCAGTGGAGCCTGAGCGGTGAGTGTTGCCTTCTGACACACTTCCGGTGATGTCA